AAAATAAGACAAAAAGGAACTTAAAAAATAATTTTTTGAGCATGTGTCCTTCCTTCAATGCTTTCTTTTCATAGACATTCATGTATATTACATATGTTCAGTGATATGCTGTACTTTTTTTTATTGTGTAGTTTGCTGTTTTCTTTTGTTGTTAATCCTCACAAGAGGATATTTTTTCCATTGCTTTTCTTTTTTTCCCTTTTTTATTTTATTTTTAATTTTTATTGATTTTAGATAGAGAAAGGGAGAGAGAGGGAGAAACATTGATTTGTTGTTCCATTTATTTATACACCATTGGTTGATTCTTGTATGTGCCCTGACCGGGGATCGAACCCGCAACCTTAGTGTACTGGGACGATGCTCTAACCCACTGAGCCACCTGGCCAGGGCCTCCATTGCTTTTCAAAGAGAGTGGAAGGGAGGGAGGGAGAGAGAGAGAAACATCGATGTGAGAGAGATACATAGATCGATTAGTTGCCTCCTACATGCCAGGGATAGAACCTGCAACCTAGGTACATGCCCTTGATCTGGAATTGAACCCTTGAACCATTGAGCTACACTGGCCAGAGCTATAGTTTGCTGTTTTTACATACATACACCTATGGTGCATATTAACTCATTGTATGTATTTTATAAATGATTTCTAATGATTGCATATATTTCATATTCCAGCCTGTGTAACATAATTTTTAACTACTTATTATCGAATTTTAAATAGCGCTGCAATGAACACTCACTTTCTACAGTTATAGTGAAAGACCTCCAGCAATTAAACTGTGTTAAAATCAACTTAACATAGCAGTTTTTAAAAACAGTTTTGTAGAATCTGTTCATTTTGTTAGTATCTGTGCAATCACCGTGGTCTGGAAATGTCGGTGTTGTGGGGTACATGTATACCATTAGAAAGCAGTGTCGGGCATTTAAAGAGGCTATTTAGATAAAATTGGCACTAGAGAACTTAAGCAGGCAGCCTGTGCGTCCATCAGCAGATGAGTGAATAGAGGAAATGGGGTATATATAATATTTGGTATGGAATAATATTTAGCCTTAAAAAAAGGAAATACTGTCCTTTGTGACAACATGGATGAACCTAGAGGGCATTATGCTAAGTGAAATAAGCCAGACAGAAAAGACAAATACTGCCTGGTATCATTTATATGTGGAATCATTAAAAAAAAAAAAAAAAAAGTCATAGAAACAGAGTAGAAAAAGGGTGGGGGAAATAGAGAGTTTGGTATAACTTTATTATAAGATGAATAAGGTCTGAGGATCTAATGTATAACATGGTGACTGTAGTTCATAACACTGTATTGTATGACTTAAAGGTGCTAAGAGAGCAAAATTTAAATGTACTCACCAAAAAAAGGAAAGAAATGAGATGGATTTGTTAATTAACTCCGAGGATCCTTTCACAGTGTATGTATATTATCAAAACATCACATTGTGCACTATAAATATCTTACAATTTTGTCAATTATACCCCAATAAAGCTAGGAAAGAAAAAGAACTTTATGCAGAACTATATACAAATTAAAAACAAAAAGCCGGAGAGGGAGGTGTGTGTGTTGGGGGGCGGCCAGAGGGCTTGGAAGCAGTGACACTCAGAAGCAACAACATACCCAGATCTTGGTTTCTAAATACTATTCTCCAATAAAAGTAACCAGGGCTCCTTGGAGAAATGGATAATTATAGGTCCAGAGCATCTTGTTTTGCCAGAATATAAGGAAATGCTCAAAAAACAAAGGATGTGGGCATGTCAAAAGGACATAGGAGCCAACCTCAGTGAGCTCCTAATAGCCGAAGCTGGAGTGATTTAAGCAACAGAATAAACAGTGTAGTCCTGCATTATAACCCAAAGTGTGAAATAAATCTACATAAATTTATATGGGGAGGAGAGCCGTCTCCCAATAATTTATGTAGCACTCACCCCTTCAGGAGCTGGGGCTTAATTTCCCCACCTTGAGTATGGGCTGAACTTGGTGGCTCGCTTCTAAAGGACAGAGTATGGAAAGGGGTGAAGGAAATTTACAGTGGAGAAACCTGACAAACAAAACCTTATTTAAAAAGTCATGTTAGCATGTACCCTTACTATAATGTGATGAGAAGGGCACTTTGTATCTGTGGTTTCCCCACCCAAACCCATGAAAAACATCATTCAGATTCCAACTGAGGGACAAAAAACGGTATCTGACCAGCATTCTTCAAAATTGTGAAGGTCATGAAAAACAGACCAGAGGAGGCTAAGGAGACATGAGGATCCAGAATATGGATCCTGGAACGGAAAAAACTGGTGACACCCAAATGAAGTATGGAATTCAGTTAATTTGTTTAGAAGACACTAAAAACATTTTCCTCCAACATTTAATTATGAAGACATTCCCATGTAAAGTTGAAAGCAATGAACAGTGAACGCCCACATGCCCACAACCTAGAGTCTACAGTTCAGATTTTGTGATCTCTGCTTTATCACATACCTACCTAGCTCTCCTCATACTTTAAAAAGTATTTCCAGGTAAGTTGCCAACATCAGTACACATAATTCCCTTCCCCCTAAAAACCAAAACCAAAACCAAAAGTGGAACTTTTTCAAATGGAACTTCTGCCAAGGTTGTGGTCCCTCACCTACAACTCTGGTGCTGAGTTGACAGTGTCTGTCACTGTGCCCTGCTGAGCGCAGAGGAGGCTGAAAAGTTGGAGAGGATATGTAGGTTACGTAGGCACTTTCAGAGGTGATCACGGGTGTGTGTGATGAGGGGACCATGCTTGACTGGAGTGAGTCTGCGCTTGGGGGCATTGGACCATTGTGGGGCCTGGGAGCGTCCAGCAGATAACAACTGTTTCCCTGCCACGTGTTTCCAATACCTGCATTGGCATTAACCAACGTGGGCAGTTTTCAAGACGGCTGGAAGGGATGGCGGGTCTGGCCTGGGACAGTGCTGAGCGCTCGTTCTGTCAGGTATAGTGCCTGAGCATGTATTTGGGCAGAGCCCAAGCCTTCCTCCCCACACCATTCTTCCCTCCCCTCTGGTCCTCTGGGAAAATAAATAGAGCAGGAAGAGAGAGGCTTTAGCTCTGGATGGGGGTCGGAGAGCTGATCAGCTCATCAATCAGGAGAGTGTAATTATACGGAAAGGACAGAAATCACTCCCTGAAGGCCACAGACTTGGGGATTTGCCCAGAAGAGGACTTTACAGCTGCTAACAGTAGTCCTATTCAGCTAGGGTGCATAATGATTTTAAAACTAATCAGGAACCAAAGCCGGAGGCTGGGGACAAACACAAATATCTTGTTGACAGAGCAAACATCTAGATTTTGTCGGATAGGAAGTTGCTGAGGAAGGCCAGAGTGATGTAATGGTGTACGCCAAGCTTTCATCCTTAAACAGATGGGCCCCTGAGGTACCATCTGCAGCTCCCTGGGGCCCTTCGAAATGACTCTCCGTAAAATAACTCGTAAGTTAGTTTCGAGAAATTCTTATGGAAGCCATACCTGAAATAAAACTAAACAAAGGAAGGAAATTTCCACCAGCGTGACCCGCTTCCTCTCCCTTGCCTTATAAATAGACCTGAGATTTATTATGATGGGCAGTTTTCTTATGTAGGATTTGAGTATCGCTGCCTCCCCAGGTAGCCTTCCAAAGTAAACTTCCCTTTCTCCTCTTCAGCTTGGACAACAGCATTTACTCCTATCTAAGCCAGTGTCAGCTGGATATTTTTCATAAACAGCTATTTTAGGTTTTCTGTTTTGCTTGAGGAGGAAGTAGTGTTTTGTTTCTGGTTTTTTCTTTCATCAAAGGAATATTTGTTCTGGGAAGGCAGGGGGAGGGATGTTTCTTAGTCTGGATCAGAGGAAGAAAATGTATGGCATCATGTGTGAGTGGCTGATTATGAATCTTAATAGGTCATGTTTTTTATTTATTTTTACTATTTTAAAAAAACATATCTTTATTGATTTAAGGGAGAGGGAGAGAGAGATAGAAACTTCAATGAGAGGGTTGTCATTGATCGGCTGCGTCTTATATGCCCCCCACTGGGGATCGAGCCCACAACCTGGGCATGTGGCCTGACCGGGAATTGAACCGCCATGTCCTGGATCCTACCTAGGTCGATGCTCAACCGCTGAGCCATGCCTGGCTGGGCAGTTGGTCATGTTTTTAATAAAACATTTAATAAATCATGCTCACCCTTTAATTTGTTCAATAGTTATTACCCCTCCGCCCATGTCCCAGGCCCTGAGGATTCACAGTGGATCGTGTAGCCTCTGTTCTCAGGGAAAGACACAATCAGAGGAAGTGGGAAAGTGAGGTTTGCAGAAGTTAAAGGAATCAGAGGAGGGGGAGTGAGGGGAGACTTCCTGGTGGAGGTGGTTCTTGAGCTTAGTCTCAAGGGAGTAGCGAGGTGAGGTGGTGTGGGTTGGGCAGAGAGGAAGCTGAGGTGTGGAGGGTAAACAGTGTGTGTGGGGGGGGAGCAGGACGGATGAGTGTGGAGGCAGTGTGGAATACAGGAGGGAGCTGCAGGAGAGGCCGATGGAAGGTTGACTGGGTAGGGGAGAAGCCAGGGCTATGCATGTGGGTAAGGAATGGGGGCAGGAGGTTACAGTGTTAGTATGTCAAGCTTCCTGGGTTGATTTTCTGGGTTAAAAGGAGGAAAGGGCATTTGCTAGAGCAGGGTTGAGGGGCCTGATGGTAGAAGTTTGAGATGGTTGTTGAGGGGAGTGGAAGGGGGCTTTTTTAGGATACCGAGGGCCTTTCTGGGTCAGAGACATTCAAATGTAGTGGCATTTCTCTGTGAGTAGAGCGACTTCTCTGGGAACTTTGGGTCTGGGATTCAGGTGTGGAGAAGCCAAGTTGTGGTATTGATTCTAACAAGTGAGACAAGAGGGTTGCAGAGCATGGAGGGTGTGGCAGGGGAGTGAATTAGATCATCAGTGGCAGAGTCCTGCTAGGGAATGAAAAAGCTGACCCACTCCAGGGAGTGAGGGGGCTGTGAGCACTACAAAAATAGGAGGTTACGGTTGGTCGTCAAGCAAGAGCATTGAATTGTGCCCTCTGACTCTAAGGTGTGGCCCTGGGAATGGCTGCCTGGAGTCAGGAGCCAAGGATTAGAGGCTCAGGAGCAGTGAGATGATAGGAACTGGAGTCACAGCGCTGTGTGCTGGGCTCTGCTCCCAGTGCTTCGAACTGTTAATTCAACAGCAGCTCTGTGAATGGGTGCTGTTACTATCGCCGCTGATAGGTGAGGAAACTTAACATCCAGAGAGCTTAAGTAATTAATTGCTCAAGGTCACACAGTTAATAAATAATGAGATTCTAATCTGGGGTGTCCAGGCCCCTCTGTGCACCCCCTCCCTCACCCCTGTGCTCTTGTGTCTTTAGGAGCTGACCTCTGTCTGAGGAGAAAATTGAGAACGAAGTCCCTCACCCTCTTTTTTTTCCAGTGAACAGCAGAAGTTACCCAAAATAGGTAGGTAACAGTGAGAATTGTGAGAACCTCAAAGGAGGGTGAGTTTCATATGAGGTTGGAAAAATGGGCTCAGCCAGCACCCTTCAGTGGAGAGAGGCCTTGTCACAAGGGGCGAGAGTGCTGGCAAATGAGTGTTTAATGGATACAGTTTCAGTTTAGGAAGCTAAGAAAGTTCTAGAGATGGATGGTGGTGATGGCTGCACAGCAGTGTGAATGTACTTAATGCCATGGAAGTGTACACTTGCTAAAGTGATCAATTTAATGTGCATATTTTATCACAATAAAAAATTAAAAGTGATGGAGGGAGAAAATGGTAATTGCTACCACTTATGGAACATTTTTCTGGTACAAAATTGGCACTTATTAAATATATGAATGTATGCTAAGGATTTTGCTAAATGCTTTATGTGTATTTTTCATTTAAACTCTGTCAGACAGATAAGGCATCTCAGGTTTGAAGAGATTAGTCAACTGGCCCAAGGTGAGGCATCCAGAAAATTGGTGGAGACTGGGCACTACCACATCCCTCTGACTCCAAAGCCTTTCGGAGTAACCCCTAGGGAATTTGACAGTGGAAAGAAGGTTCCAGAGGCTGTGGTGGAGAGGGAAAGAGAGAGGGAGGGGGTTGTTGGTAGAGGGAGGACTGCAAGAGGGAAAATGCTGGATGAGGAGAGGAGGGTAGGGGGAGAGGGAGCAGCAGGACTGCAGGGATGGGAGGTTGGATGCAGGGATGGTCCTCCCGTGTCTGGACTGGGCCTAAGTTGTGAGGGAACTGGTGGGAAGTCCAGGTAACACTGACCTGGTCTCAGAAGAAGGTTGGGGGCTCCAGAGAAGCTTAGGGCCCAGTATTTGCGGGGGGGGGGTGTCTTCCTCTTCAGACAGTCTTGTTGGTAGAAGATTCTTCCCAGATTGAGACTCACAGTGGGAGGAAGGGCTAAAGGTGTGGACAGTGCAGAGATGGGGCTCAGCCTGTACCTCCTTTCTCAACTTCCTCCTCAACTTCTGTCCTTCCTGCTGCCCATTAAGTCTGAAATCAGAAACCTGACACTGAATTTAGGGGCATGAATATGGGGAGGAGATGGTGGCAGTGGTGCGGGGGATTGACTTTTTTCAATGCTGACGGCAAATTCCAAGGGTGAGGTCAGACCATGGCCAACTCCCTGGCTTCGTAGCCCATCAGCAAACTGCAAACATTTTGCCGCAGATTTTCTTTCTTTTTAGCAGAATGGCATAAAATACATATATTCAGAAGTAGATTTGACCTGGCTCCTCCTGAAGTTTTTGAGGTTGTAACCTGAAACTCCTGAGGTGTATCCTGTCTTCAGTGGTGGCCAGTGGCATGTGTGACCCCCGGCTGGAGATGCTGGCCTGCTCAGATATTTGAATTTGGTGAGGTGTTTGTGAAGTGATCTAAGCTGTTTATGAGGGAAGTGCTCTCTTGAGAGTTCCTGTTATCATTTTACTTCACATGTTTACTTTGGACCCAGCAGAATTCTTTCATTCTCCTGAGGGTGGTTTTAGATTCAGTACTGAAAGGCAGGCTGCTGGAGCAATGCTTTCTGTGTCACGGTGGTGACCGTGGAGAGCATGGCCTGTGATTGCAGTTATATAATAATTTTGAATAAATAAAGAGATGTTCTCATAGCAGGTCCTGGAAGGGCAGCCTGGGAGCCGGCATCATTAGGGATTCGGTTGCTCTGCAGTTAAATGTTGCAGCTGTCAGATGCACAGCAGCACCTCAGCCGCAACCTCCAGGAGTAAATGTACCTTCAGCAGCAGCATCAAAAACCCAGTCCTGAGAGGATCCAGTGCAGCAGGATGCTCTCCATCAAAAGTAATCTGCAAAACCTGGTCCCTGGCCCTAATATGTTTTACCCCCAGTAGCTGGCTGGATCTACTGAGCTTTACAACTGTAATTTTCAAGGAAAGGTAGAGAGTTAATACGCTTACTGGCACCAAGTCTGATGAATCATTTCTGTCCCCTTCTCTGCCCTTTTTCTCCAACTAAGAAACATTTGGGGGCTAGGTAGAATAAGGCAAGTGGGATTTCCCTTAAAATGAAACTAGGACTCAGATAATGATCACTAAGGTAGCCCTTAGTTTGGGAAAATAATAATGGCTGACATCATAATGAGTGGTTATCTTCTGGGCCAAGTGCCTTCCTGGTATTATCTCATAGGCTCCTTGAGAACAGGATCTTGTCTTTTGTTCACTGCTGTATCCCCCAGCCGAGAACGGCCTGGCACAGAGTAGGTACTCAGTGAATGAACTGAATGCAGATAAGGATTCTGAGGCACAGAGAGGTTAAATGGCCTGCCCAAGGCCACACCATTAATGACTGGGATTTCTTGGCAGTGGGTAGATAAAGTGGAAGGCACAGAGCATAACATCCTCAGAACCTTTTCTTGAAAACATTGTTTACTGCGGCTTTAAAGTTGTCATGAGTTTCACAAAGTAAAGTTCTCCATCGATTAAAAATACGAATTCAATAATTAATTTTATTAAAATTAGTATTATATAATTTTATAATTATGATGTTATAAAGACTAAATGGGAAACAACTTAGAATAGTGCCTGTACCTTGTAAGTGTGATATTTGTTTGAAAATTTTTCTTAAGCATTATTTATTTTTAAAAGGATGTTTGTTTACTTGGTTTTAATTTTGAAGTAAAGACTAAAACTTTTTTTTTTTTTAAATCTTCACTGGAGGAGTGAGGATATTTTTCCATTGATTTTCAGAGAGAGTAGAAGGGAGTGGGTGTGGGGAGAGAGAGAGAAACATCGATATGTGAGAGACACATCAATTGGTTGCCTCCCACATGTGCCTCAACTGGGGCTGGAGATTGAACCTGCAGCCCAGGCACGTGCCCTTGACCAGGACTCGAACCTGTGACACGCTGGTGCGCAGGCTGACGCTTTAATCACTGAGCATGCCAGCCAGGGCTAAAACATTTTTTTAAACTATGAAGACTGTCTTTACGAATAGACCTGAATGAGAAAATATAATTCAGAGATCTAATAGGAAAGCCAAGAGTGAGGTCTGATTGTAGTAATAAAAATATTATGTTACCATATGAACACTACATGAATACAAAATATTTTACTAGCCAAACAACTAGAATTAAACATTTTAGTAAGAGCTGTCCATAGAGCACCAAAATTATGTATTATAAGGTGTTATTGTTTAGCCCAGTAGTCTAAATATTTTTGGCAGCAATCTTAGCAATAAAATACTTTTTGCTCATACCTACAGCGTATATATATTTATGAATTATAATCACAAATTATTTACTAATAAACTATTTGCATTTATACACAAAAATAGAAATAAAAGAATGAGACAAGTAAACACGATTAGACATTCTAATATTTTCTTTCTATATCCATCAGATCATCTTGTACCCTCTTTTTATCTGGTTTAGAAAGACTGAAAGTAATCTAGAAGGGAAAGCACATGGCATTTTTTGAGGGAGGGTTTGCTAGAATTTTGGACTGATATGTGGATGAGAAATTGACAGAGAGGTAAACCATCAGGCAGATTGAGTGTAGGATGTTTTGGGGTATAAACTAGAAAGCTCTCCCTGGCCATCTGCTTGAAAATGTTGGGGAGGTGGTCACACTCCTACAGAATAAAGTGTCCCTGTTAGAATGGTCTAAACGCTTCCTCATAACTGATTATGCTGGACATGCTGGAGGAAAAAATATAGTTCTTATGCAAAGTATGCAAAATTGCTTTTAAATTTTAGAAGTATTCCAGCTATTTGAAAGGAATAGACCTGAATGGAGTGGCAAGGAAGTCAAGTTAATCGTTTGGAAGTGAGAAAATGGAAATAAGGTGAAATCATTGGACTTGACCTTGGCAAAAGCTGTGGGTGGATGAAAGGGCAGCGAGGAGGAGACTCTGATCACAGTTCTCGGGACAGGTTAGGGTAAGAGGCTGCCGAAGTCTCCGGAGAGGCAGGAACAGGGAGCCTGTAGTGGGGCACCTACTGTCATTATTGTGGAATATTTGGTGGTAAATTAGTCGTAGTTTCCCCATAAATTAACATTTTCTAAGATTGTCAAATACTTTACCTGCTTCTGGATTTAAAAGATCATTTGAAGGGAGACTATCAAGTTAATAAACCACTGTTTGTGTACCTGGGGAGAGTCCTGTAGCAGCTCTCCAAAGTAGAATTCGCCAGCCTGACAGCATCGATGCCCACCTCAGACCAACGAGTAGGGATGAATATGAATGGATTTGGGGTGATGGTTGGGGTAGATTGATCACCTGCAGTTTTCTGTTGATCTCTGGGACTGGGTTTAACTACTCAGATAAATTGGGAATTCCAGACAGATTTAGAATAATTCAAATAATTGTTTCTGGAGGAACTAAAAGCAGGCTGGAGAAATAAATGATAGGTTCGGCCAACACTTCATTTTGAGATAATGCAGAATTGTGTACTTAGTACTGAACGGAAAGTGGATTTTGACAGCATCTCAACAGTGATGGCATTTTATTGATTATCCATAAATAAAATACTTAAGTGCTATTGCAATATATTCAGCAGAGCATTTCACAATAAGAGAGGAAAAGCCTCCTCTGAAAATAGGTAGCCAGATAGTAAAGAACCAGTAGAAATATGGCCTTTATGGGTACCTTTCATTCCATTAGGAACTTTCTTAAAAGATAGGATAAGTTTTCATAAGTGATAGTTATAGTATCATTCAGAGAATACCAGTAGTAAATATTCTTGTCCTTAATTCTATATAAAAGAGGCTTATTCACTCTCATAAATAACTAGTTGATGAGTTTGTGGCTTGTGATAGCTGGCAAATACTTAGATGTGACAGAGACAGAATTAGAAACTGATAAAGTAAGGATTTGGGGTTGCTGTGAGACCTTAAGAAAAGTGACCTCACTAAGAGTGACTCAAGGAAAAGTTATGCTGACTTCAGAAACATGACTCATTAGGGGAATGAATGCAACGTGCCCTTCTTTACCCTTTGAATGAGAAGTC